TCCTTCAGGTTAAGTAAAATGTAATTATAATATTGTATTGACCATAGATTCCTAAATTATTAAATAAATTACCACATAATCTTATTACCTAATTGGAACATTGTATACATCAACTGTATGTGTTCTTGCTTCAATTATATGAATCTAAATATGTAGTATAAAAGTATTACTGCTTCAGTTTCTAAATAATTTGCAAACTTCTCAATTTACATTGTTGCAGACATCATTATAACTTTTAATTATTTTCTTTTTCTGCATAAATTTTTTAATAAACCCAATAATAAATCTGATTAAACAGTCCTTTCATGAGCCTCATCTATTATAATAACATCATATCGTTTTAATTATTAATCTACATAATTTACAAATATACCAATTATAAATTCTCGAATAAGCATACCATCAGTTAAAAATGTAATTTATGTGTCTTTGCTTGTACAATCATCAAATCGAACATTATATCCAATTAATTATCCTAATTTAGTCTATTTTTCTAATGAACATCTTTCAGCAAGAGTCATAGCGGCTACTCTAAAAATTAATTCTCCAATCAAACCTTCGAGGTTGAGTAACTGCTATTTTTACATTTGGATCATTTTCATAAATATATTAAGGTATTTGAGTTGTTTTACCACAACCTGTTTCACCTGCTATAATTATCACCTAATCTAATAAATGTTAATATATAATTACTTTCTCTAATTGATTTGATTATTTTTTCTCTAAATTAGAATATTGGCAACTGCATTCTAAATTCATTAAGCATCGCTAATTAAAAATAAATTACTTAATATAAGTATAATTTAAATAATTCAAAAAATAAAAAATATTTTCGATTAATTATGATAATCAATAACCTAAAACATTACTTCATTCTCTTTTCTACTCTATATAACATAATTAATATTTTAATGATAAAGAAAATACAAAATAAAGAGGTTAGAGTATACATTATTGAGCTGAATTGAAAATTTTTATTAAAATTGGTTAAATATAATTTATATTTTAAAAAATGAGACTGCCAATTCATTTGATAAATTAAACAACTGATGTTGATTTTAATAAATAATAAGTTTACATAATTATTTAAATGGGATCTCATTGTTGCAAAATTGATCACTTTATTCGTCAAGGTTCTTTTATATCCTATCTTCAGATGAATTAGATTTAGACTTAGATGAAATATCGAACTTTACCCCATAACCACTCTCTAAAGCTTCTATTTCTTAAAAGGGCACAAAAAAGAGTAAGGCTAAACAATCTATTAGGAAAAGAAAATTCAATATCCCCTTGCTCTTTAGAGAGGAGTAAAACTCACAAAGAGATTGCAATTTAATAGGAAGTTCTAAATACAGAAATAGAGCATAGAAATAATCTTGAAGTTTTATAAGTAATGTAGTAAATGTCAAAGACAATAGTTGTTGAAAGTAAATCCTTTTTGAATTATTAGCTACATAATAAAGTAGAATGAATAGTTTAAGTTAAATTGGTACGTAGACTAGAATCAAGCTTGGATAAGATATTTTCATTCATTTAAAAGAAGGATCAATAAATTCACATTATAGATTTGACAAAGTTCTAGGTTAAGGAGGTTTTGGAAAGGTGTGGAAAGTCACCCATAAAATTACAAATCTTGTTAGAGCAATTAAATAGATAAAAAAGAGCTCAATATTAAAGGAAGAAAAATAAAGAATGTTTTCAGAGATGAATATTTTAAAAAATCTTGATCATCCTAACATTTTAAAATTATTTGAACTTTATCAAGATACAAATAATTATTTTTTAGTCACTGAGTATCAACAGTTATTAAATTTAGATATTTATCTGGAGGAGAACTCTTGGAAAGAATAAAGATAATGACATGCTTTACTGAAAATGTTGCAGCTAATTATATTAGATAAATATTATTAGCTACACTATATTGTCATGAGAAAAACATTGTTCATCGAGATTTAAAGCCAGAAAATGTTATTTTTGTCAATTAAGATCCGAATTCATAGTTAAAAGTAATAGATTTTGGTACATCCAGAAAATTTGACAAAAAAAAATCAATGAGTAAAGATATTGGAACTGTAAGATACATCCTTATAACTAGCCTTTTTATGTTGCTCCAGAAGTATTGAACCATTAATATGATGAAAAATGTGATTTATGGTCCTGTGGAATTATACTCTATGTGTTATTGTGTGGATATCCCCCCTTTACTGGAAGGACTGTTCATTAAGTATTAGAGAGAGTTAAATAAGGTGTCTTTATTTTTGAAAGTATTATATTTATTAAATTTATATTATAATAGGTCGTGATTGGGAGGATATATCTAAAGAAGCTAAGTCATTTATATCAAAACTTTTAAGGGTTGATCCTAAAAGGAGATTATCTGCGAGAGAAGCATTGGATGATCCATGGTTGGTAAAACACAATCCTACAACATAATTAAATTTAAGGGTGTTAGAAAACATTAGATAATTTCAAGTAAATAATAATATTAACAGATAAGGCATAAACACTTCTTAGATAGGCATTAATGTCATATATGATCACATAGATGTCAACATAAAAAGAAATTCAAGAGATTCAAAATGAATTCACTAAGTTAGATTTAAATCATGATGGAATACTTTCAAAAGATGAGTTTATGAAGGGTTATTCTTAATTGAAATCAGATACTAAATTAGTTGAGGATGAGGTAGAGAGAATTATCGATTTGATTGATGTTAATAGATCAGGAATGATTGATTTTTCAGAGTTCTGTATGGCAGCTATGAACCAAGAAAAATTATTTTCAGTTCAAAGAATTGAGTAAGCATTTAAGATTTTTGATTAAGTAATTAAGAATAAATAAATTCTTAGAATGGTGATGGATTTATTTCTAAATAAGATCTTGAAGCAATCATGGGTCATTTAGAGGATGAAGTTTGGGAATAAATACTTTTAGAGTGCAACGCAGATTAGGAGGGTTAAATTTCGTATTAAGAATTTATTACAGTTTTATAATAAAAAACACTTTGATTATTGTTTATTTATTTTAGGCATTGAATTATATTTTGAGTAATTTATTCATATATAAATCTTGAACATACATCTTGCTTGCTGAATAATTATTAAATATATAATAACAAAATATTATATGATTTTTTTTTTAATTATAATCTCTATTGATTAATTTTAAGCTATAAGAAATGTAGCCATCACTTTGGGTCCATTAACTTAATAATCTACTACATATGTAATTTATTAAGATGAGCAAATTAATTAATAATTTAGTTTGAAGGAGACTCGTTGGAATAATTGTTCACCATTGGATTTATTATACATAAAATCAAATATAAATTAACAAATTACATACACTCCCTTAAATATAATAAACACAGGAGATAAAGATATAATTATTGATTCATTAAGCCTTACTACTTTGAAAGGCTAGGCTTTGAAAATAACACTAAGTAAATTTTATTTAATTTAGATAATACTAATAACATTGTAGTCTAAAAAAAAGGAGTAGAGATAATAAATATTCAATATATATGTGAAAAGAAATTAACAAAGGAAAACTACTGGGCTGTAATTGAAATTACCCTTAAAACATCCAATCAATCTTTGAAATTTTCATATTAGTATATTTGTGATCCTAATTTCCATCCAAAAAGATTTGATTGGAGCTATTTGATTTTAATAGTAACAATGTCTACATTTGTACTATTTCTATCAAGATAATAAAAATTAAGTGCATTTAAAATTACCTATTATGATAAATTGAATAATAAAAATGTTGTTGTCTTTCAAGGATTTCATTTAGGTTTGAAAAGTGCTATTATATATAATTCTGTATTTGGTATAGGTGTAACCTCAGCTTATATTTTTTAAAAAACAGTAGAAGATTTAGAAGAAAATTTAGTTAGATGTTTTTGCTTAATATTTGGATTTATTTTAATTAGCGAAGTTAATTTTGTTATATAATTTAGCTATGTTATAAAATGAAATTTTTAAAAATTAGAATAGTTTCCATCCTAAGAGCTTGTGATATCATAGGATTACTTGTATCTATTGTAACTTTACATTTATATGTAGATAATAATGAACCTTGGATTGTATTAAAATAACAATTTATTATTTGTAGATTAGTAATTTATTAACTATCTATTTGGTTGGTACTTCAATCAAATTATTTAAAATAACAAGTTTAAAAAATGGATTACACTTTTTTATTCCATGCATAATTATGGATATTCTGTTTTCAATTTATGGTAGCTTATTTGTACGTTATGAATGGGATAGTCTTGTTATGAAATATTTTAATACTCCTCTTACTGCTTAGTTTCCATACTTCTATCCTATCTATAAAAAAAAATGTGGATGGCTGTCCATAACATCTATATTATTTCCAGCATTTTTCCTTGCTTATGCTCATCGAGTTGATCGATTTAAAGATTCCATTATATATAGATTAATATCCTACATAGGTTTGTAAGTTGGCTTAACCTTATGGTTCACATTTTCATCCCTTTATTCAATTCCTTTGCCAGTTTCATCATTTACTCTATTTCCAACAATAGGGATTAGTGCTTTTATTGCATTCTAGAGAAATGAAATTAAGGTGATGTGGAATGGCGATTTTTATGATCAAGTCTTATTGAATCCTTGGAGACACTAAATTCAAGCAGGTGAAAGAGAATCAATCCATGTATTAAATAAAAAAAGTAATGACGAAATGGAACTACAAAATCTTGCCTATTAGGAATAATAAAATTAATAAACTCAACTCCTAAGATTATCAAGAGGTTAAATTAAATTACACAATTAATTGTTTTAAGGATTATTAGATTGATTTTGTTATTGAATTACATGAAATTTATACTATTTTATTATTTTCTTATAAAATAGTTACTATTTAAGTATAAATAGTCAAATCAAGAAAGCTAAGACAGATTAAATCAGCATCTATAAAATTTTTCCTAGATTGTTTATAATAAATTAAAAATTTTTAAACAAACATTATTGACATGAATTTAAGGAAAAGTCGATTAAAATAAACTCCATTTGCTGCATCTAAATTCTCTTCCTCATTTTTTCAGCCATTACTTCCTGATTCAAAAACTAAAACTAAAAAATAAAGATTATAAGATTCAATTGAAAATTTCGTTCAAATTTATGAATAATATCTTAAAATGCTTTTTGGGCAAGAAATAACTTTTTAAGATGAGAAACAATTTAACCAAAAGTTATAATTATTCTAACAAGAGGAAGATGCTTTAGAAGAATTTGATTTACCAGAAACAGTAATAAGGTAAAGTTTTATAATTATTCATTATTTCCAGCCTCCCAAACCCAGACACAATACCTGATGACTTTGAATATCCACTAAAATAGATAGAATATTTCGAACAAATTGTCAAGTCTTTAAAAATAGATGAAAAATCTATTCATGATAAATTGTTCTTAAAGGCTATTGAAAATGTTTACACTAATCTATCGGATCGCAAACTCTTCTCCTTATTTGAATTACGAACTAGAGGAATAGAAACACAGCCCAATTAATGCAGAAATACTCTAATCGGTTATGGGACAGGTTAATAGTTATTTCAAAAATCTCCAGATCGAACTCCTAGATCTATCATCTTGGATGATAATCATAATCAGGAAAACAAGACAGAAATTTTCCCAATATATGAGAAGGATGATTGTGTGAATAAGTTAGTGAGAAAATTTCGAAATTATCTTAAAGATCATATAAACCGAAATTAAGGAAGCTTAGCTAATATTATTGATTCAATATNATTCAATTCCTTTGCCAGTTTCATCATTTACTCTATTTCCAACAATAGGGATTAGTGCTTTTATTGCATTCTAGAGAAATGAAATTAAGGTGATGTGGAATGGCGATTTTTATGATCAAGTCTTATTGAATCCTTGGAGACACTAAATTCAAGCAGGTGAAAGAGAATCAATCCATGTATTAAATAAAAAAAGTAATGACGAAATGGAACTACAAAATCTTGCCTATTAGGAATAATAAAATTAATAAACTCAACTCCTAAGATTATCAAGAGGTTAAATTAAATTACACAATTAATTGTTTTAAGGATTATTAGATTGATTTTGTTATTGAATTACATGAAATTTATACTATTTTATTATTTTCTTATAAAATAGTTACTATTTAAGTATAAATAGTCAAATCAAGAAAGCTAAGACAGATTAAATCAGCATCTATAAAATTTTTCCTAGATTGTTTATAATAAATTAAAAATTTTTAAACAAACATTATTGACATGAATTTAAGGAAAAGTCGATTAAAATAAACTCCATTTGCTGCATCTAAATTCTCTTCCTCATTTTTTCAGCCATTACTTCCTGATTCAAAAACTAAAACTAAAAAATAAAGATTATAAGATTCAATTGAAAATTTCGTTCAAATTTATGAATAATATCTTAAAATGCTTTTTGGGCAAGAAATAACTTTTTAAGATGAGAAACAATTTAACCAAAAGTTATAATTATTCTAACAAGAGGAAGATGCTTTAGAAGAATTTGATTTACCAGAAACAGTAATAAGGTAAAGTTTTATAATTATTCATTATTTCCAGCCTCCCAAACCCAGACACAATACCTGATGACTTTGAATATCCACTAAAATAGATAGAATATTTCGAACAAATTGTCAAGTCTTTAAAAATAGATGAAAAATCTATTCATGATAAATTGTTCTTAAAGGCTATTGAAAATGTTTACACTAATCTATCGGATCGCAAACTCTTCTCCTTATTTGAATTACGAACTAGAGGAATAGAAACACAGCCCAATTAATGCAGAAATACTCTAATCGGTTATGGGACAGGTTAATAGTTATTTCAAAAATCTCCAGATCGAACTCCTAGATCTATCATCTTGGATGATAATCATAATCAGGAAAACAAGACAGAAATTTTCCCAATATATGAGAAGGATGATTGTGTGAATAAGTTAGTGAGAAAATTTCGAAATTATCTTAAAGATCATATAAACCGAAATTAAGGAAGCTTAGCTAATATTATTGATTCAATATAGGTTGATCTCTAGGGATTATTGTATATCTCTAAAAAGGCATATAGTTAAGGTGAATACTTAAAAACCTAAGGTAAAGTTTGGTATAGAACTAACAATGATACATAAGATCTTTTAACCTTAACACGCAATATTCTCATAATTTAATTTTCAAGAAAGGGATACAAAGTTAAGCCTATGTTGTCTAAAGATGGCTCTAAAATCTACCTTCTGTTGTATATACCTGAAAAATCCTTAGAAGTAGCAGCAGAAAATTTTGGCATACAAAAAAAATTAAGCTTTTGCTTTACTGATTTACTTTCATTGGAACCAGTGGATAATGAATTTAGACCTCTAAGATTAAGTGGCAGATTATGGAGACCTGATGAATATAACCTCTCGCCTTATTTAAAATATTTAAGACCATTAATTATTGAGTAGATTTAGAAAATAAATTTTAAAAAGTTAGCAAGAGAAGTTGCCCAAAGTGGATTGAATACAGAATTATTTGAGTATGAAAAATCAGAGTTGCATGGAGATGATGTTGGCCCTACAGATGAAGAGTGGACAGCCTTTTATAAATATCTAGTACATCTAAATAATAATGTTTAAATTCAAAGAAAAAAGTTCTAAATTAATAATGACATAGCTTTAGTAATAAATGAATAAAAAACAGTTGAAGAAATCTATGCTATTAGAAATTGTAAAAAATTTAAATACTTTACCTAATGTACTCCAAAGGAATAAGAAACTATACAAACAGTTTATGATTAAATAAGAGAACTTTCATCCCAAACCAAAACCCTACCTATTTTTTCTAAAATTCCAAAAATAAAAAAAATTAAGCTATTGCTTTAGTAATAGCTGGCTCATAATTATTTAAATATATTTAAAGAGGCATTAAAAGTAGCAAATACACCAACACAATAATTGAAATCCATATGGGACAGGAATAACTAAACTCCATTCGAGCTTTTTATACCTTTCAAAGTTCATTTTAATAATTCTTCATTAAAGTAATAAGCAAAATTTTAAATAAGATGGTGTAGATATATTAAAAATGAAGAAAATTAAATAACTTTATTTCCTACTCATGAAAGATTAAAAATATCTTAATAACTTATAACTTCTTCAGTAAATTTGAATACTTTGATTAATTTGAAATTAGTTAATAATGTATTTTGCTTACACGATCATTATGAATTATTTGGGCATTGTAAAAGTCTCTAATAAGCGTTAAGCGAAGATAAAGATTTATATAAAAAAAAACCATTTGATCTTGCAGGAGAATGGATTTTCAAATTTAAAATTCCTTGGAGTTTGCCAATAGAACAAATATGTTCTTATTTTGGAGAAAAAATTGGACTTTATTTTGAATTCTCCTCCTATTATATTAAATTTTATGCAGTTTTGTCGATTATTGGAATACTGTTTACAATATTAACATATACTACTTAATATTATGACAAAGACATTTATACAGGAATTATATCGACTTTTTCAATACTATTAATTCATTAGAGTTCATTTGTAACTGATTATTGGAGTCAAATATAACTTACATTCAATATTAAATATGGATAAAATAAAAATGTAAGAGAAAGCTTTATCAGAACAGCTTTTAAAGGTAAGCACATAAGATCAATAGGAAATGATTAATTAAATTCTTAAGAGACGATTCATTCTTAGATTATTCAAAGGATTGTTATTTCAGCATCTGTTTTAATATTTTTGATTGGTTCAGACATAGGAATTATTATTGGCCTTTATTTTTTTAATCTTTTTTTGAAAACTGTATTAGATTAGGCTGGCAATAAATTTTTAAGTCTTGAAGTTATCATATCCGGATCCTTAAATTATGGAATTTAATATTTAATAGATTCTTATTACGAATAAATAGCTACAATTTTAACTGATTTTGAAAATTTTTAAACTTCCCATCAATATGAAACTAGTTTTATAATGAAAAAGTACACTTTGTATTGGTTTTCTTAATTGTTTCCACTAATGGTAGTATGCTTTCTTCACACTCCATTAAACTTATATTGTGAAGAGGATAATTGCAAACAATAAGTTTAATACTTGTTTGGAACAACAATTATTTGGATATTTTGCATTTAAGTGATTAGGTTTGTTAAAATATATCTTTAAGAATAAAAAAATTATAAAATTAAAAAATAACAGTCTTCAACAGTAAGTTTAATCGAATTCATCCAAGAGCAGGAATAAAAAATCCCTTTTTAACACAGTTAAGAAAAATATGGAATCATAGATGAATATGTGGAATTCTTTTTATAGCTGACACTTATTAATTTGTTTGGATGTTTGTTTCCATTTAGCATAACATTATTTTGGTTTTGGATAATAATTTAATTTCAGATTCAAAAGTATAGGTTGTTATATCAAATTCAGAGACCATGGCCTAAAGGAGATAGTTCACTTGGAATTTGGAATGAAGTTAATTAATTAATAAACTTTGTTACGCTTTTATGCAACTCAGGTTTAATTTGTATTTACTATCATGGTAAATTGTAGGATAAAGTAATATTGCTATTTTTACCTTTACTATTTTATAATTTTTTAGTGAAATACATAACCATGTCGCTATTTGGTGGAACTCCAACAATTTTAGAATAAATTATTCGAAGAGGCCATTACATTTATAAAAATAATGTATAAATTGCAAGTAGTTTGAGCAGAACAATAGAAAAAAACAATAAAAATTAATTATAACATTGTCCGTTATACAAAATATTCGGTTCCATCGGAACATAAAGTTCTGATAATTTTGAAACTATTAGCTCAGATAATGAAATTACAGATTATTATTTATAAAATAGCAAGGCAATTTCAAAAAAGATTATAAAAGAAGAAGATGAATTTTAATAAAAATTAACTGAATTAACGTAAACAAATGAAACACAACATCAACTTTATACTCCTTAAAATACTTAAAGAAAAATGTAAACAGAGGTTTCTGAATAGATGAGCCGAACAATTTTCTCCTGTTATAAAGAGAATTTTAACAGACCAGAAACACAATTATAAAAAAAATAACAGTTTAAGATTGAAGAACTAGTTAAGAAAATTAATTAAGTGGATTAATTGGATTATGGATTTTTTTTTAACTATTTCTCAAAAAGAACAACAAATTATGCATTTTAAATATAGCATAGTGGTATAACTGAAAAGCAATTAAAAAGAGATAGAATCAGAATTTGGAGATTTTTTTTTCGTTTGATCTTATTGTCTTCATACAAGTTGATATGGAGCGACTACAGGTTTTTTATTTGCTAATCTTACATTCAAAGAAAATAGAAAATATTTCAAAATTTAGATTATAAAAGATTCAAAATATTAAGCTAAAGCTTTAACAATTAACTTGAATTTTATAAGAATAAAGCAACTTTGAAATTTAGAAGACAATTAAAATAGTTTGGTAAATCATTAACTTTAGAGGAAGAAAAAGAATATCAAGAAATTCTAGTAAAATATCGTAATTACGTTGAAAAAAAATCTTGGTTGAATTGTAGAAAGGTTCAGATCTTTAGATACAAAGGGTTATTTTTTAGAGGATTTAGGAAATAAATTATAAAAAAACCTTCGATAAAATTTGCTCTAGAATATTATGAGGCTATGAAAAAATTAGAATAAGTTAAATTTGAATCAGACATTCATAGAAGATTTACCTCATTAGTCCACTACTCGTCAATTAATTAATACACTTTAAATTCATTCATAGAATTGTTTGTAATGTTGGAATATGAGTAATAATGTATTTTTATATTTGACTAGGTAAAAACGAACATTTGCATTCCCATCTATTAATGGCACAA